ACATATATATACTTTATATATATATATATATATATATATATATATATATATATATAAAGTATCATCAGTATATGAGTATATCAGTTCAAGTTTGTTAATATAATAATAATAATAATAGAAAATTCATTATTTATTTAATTTTCCTTTAAACTTGATGAACTAAAATAACTAAAACAAACCTAAAACTAAAATGAAATACAAAGTAATAAACTATTAAAAAATACTATAAAAAAATAAAACAAAAAAGAATAAAACTGACAAACACAGAACAAATTTACTAAAACTTTAACTAAAATTTAAAAAACTCATTTGAAATCTTAATAAAAACTGTAATAGTGATTGATTGATGATTTTTGTTCCCAAAAAGAGCAAAAAACAACAACAACAAAACCAAACGATGTGTTCTTGCATTTCAAATAGCTAGATAGAGTGCAATGGTATTGAAAACTGTGATATAAAAATAACTCTGTGTATACGCATTTATACTTAATGATATTAAGTACTAGTTATATATTAAAAATGTTAAAATGTTTAGTTTATATGATTATATACTATACGAAGACAACTATATCGAAAATGCATTTTAACCTGCTAGCAAAGCATTTCAGTTAATCAATTTAGTCATCAATATCAAAAAGCCACAAGCCTCTTTTTCCAACAAACTTTTTTATTAGTAATTTTAATTATAAAGTTAACACACACCACAAGAGGATATCAAGACTGCGACAGATTTCACAAGGGGAAAAAAAAGGCCTCTGAACACTGTCTCACTTCCGTTATCACGATATGGAAAATGCTATTTTATCATCTCTTTGACTTCCAGGCCTTTCTCTCTCAGATGAGTGGGTGATTAAATCACTGTCAGCAGAGGCCAAACAGGGATCCATAGACAAGACAAATGTTTATACAGCTGATCCCTCATCGCTGGGGAAAAACGCAGAACCTCCGCATTGTGGTAAATAATTGAGCGCTGCATGATTAATTATGCATTATGAAATACTCTGTCGAAGCAGAAAGTTTTATTTTGTACCCAAATACACAGAGCCATGCTCTTTTTTTATTTTTATTTTTGGATCTGGGTCAAAATGTTTAACAAACGCAGTGTGCGTCACATCGCCGTGGGTCTGACTGGTGGTCGGCGTGTCAATCGGTGACTAATTGTTGCGAACGAATCCGATTTCCCAGGAGCTCTAAGCGCTTTGAGCTCCATTTCTCTGGATTTCTTAATGCCAGGTGCCTCAAGTTCGTTAATTTATTGAAAAGATTCTAATTAACTGGTTCTAGAGGGGGAAGAAACGTCGCAGGAAGATTTATAGGTTGTGCAATACAGCTGGAAGGCGCCCCGTCAGAGTCACTCCACATAAAACTGCTTTCGCTCTTTGTTCGTCGCATATTCACGTCTGCTAAATACGTGGGCAATTACATTATTCTGAGGTAATTACCGTAAATTCAACTGCCTGAGGAAACGGCAGTTCTTTCTACATAAAGGCACGTTTTTAGCACAGGCCTCTAGGAGTATATGAGCTGCTGGTTTTCAACTGTGAAAAATAGGCTGCAGATCAATTACTAATTAAATACCAGTTGAGACTAATTGGTTTCAAAGTACCAAGCCATGAAATCACAAAAACTGCCAACACATGTGACTCAAAACCAGCTTTAGCGTGTTTTGGGAGCTTCTTTCCCCGCCGTCTCTATTTTAAGCTTGGTTTTAGATCAATACCCGGACTCCCCCAAAGTGTCCTCTTTGGGGTAGACATCATTCACGGCGGACCCCGTAGACTGCTCCAGTTGTACACCCTGCTCGGGGCTACCAGCTTGAAGGATGATGTCATTACAAAAACTGTGCCATCTTCCTTGCATTTTGTAAACAAGCGGCACTATGAACTGGGCGCGCAAGTGTTGCAATCCTCTGACGCTATGTGGGTCTCATTCCTCATGTACGCCACATCAAACATCATGGATGGGTCTAAAACGTAATGGCATCAATCAGTTAGTTTCCATAACAGATTTGGAGATTTTGCAATATTTTATAAATGTTGATAAAAGCTATTGCGAAATGACGGCGTTTCCATTAATCAATGTTACGTGACTAAAAGGTTTTTTTTTTTTTCCCTCTCGCGATAAGTCATTGTGACAGATGTTGGCATTAATGGCAACGAAAGCCTCTTATATTTGAGAGCAGCCACGTATGAGGTGATTGGAAGTTATCGTACATTAAAGAATGATCATGTGACTTATGTATGCCAGGTGACCTGTAAATGGGAAAAACTGTTTACATTGCAGTTTTGCTAAATATTCCTTTTTCGAATTGCCTAAAAAAACACCTCATGCAAGCATACTTTTTTTTGCGATATATGGGAGATTTGCGAAATTGATGCATTTCCATTGGCATATTTCTATTAGCAATATCAGTTTGCTCAATTTGAAGGGTAATGGAACCGCAGCTAATGTCAACATGGACATTTGTGACGAGAGCCAAGGTTAGTATAGTCTTGTAATTTTAACGCCAACAATTTGTCTTTATTGGTTTGTTTTTTTTTACCTAGAAGTGTCTTGGAATCAAAAACCATAAATAGTAAAAATAAATCAATTCAAACGCCAAAATTGTTGCTTGGAAATCCCACATGCTACTGTACTCAGGTGAGCATAAATACACACCTGCATGACTCAAGGTGGTGCTATAATATGCTACTTTTCTCCTGAACGCCTGAACGATTAAAACCATTTGGCTAGAATCAGTATAGCTATTTTTTGCCCTGTTTATTTTGTTTTTATCAAGAACAAGAGAACAAGAAAGATGATGATGATGAAGATGAGCTTGTTTCAATACATTTTAGCAAAAGGTTTGTATGTGGCAACCATATGACTAACTGACATCAAGCGTAGTGTTAGTTCTGGCAGGTCACGTTAGTCAAGCTTGCATCAGCTGACCTTCAGCTGATCCCCATCTATGGGAATACGACACCTATCTAAGCATTCATATATAAGGTCCCTCAGTATTATCAGCAGTTTTCGCATTGCTCAATAGCTAATTACCCTCCTCCATCCCCAACTCCTCCTCTGTCAGTCGGGATTCAGCCTTCTGATTCTCCTTGAATCAGACTAATTCTAAAATGTGTACATAAAATGATTGAACTTTAACAATATCTTCAATACATTTATGTTAGTTCTGTTCTGTTTACCCTGGGGGGTTATCGCTAGGCTGCATGGAGGCACAGGGAGTTCTTGCCCAGAACAGAACCATACCGCCAATCCAAAGTGTATGCTAATTGTCAATCATCTTTGACGATATTGGTCCTGACAGAACTGCATATTTTGGTATGCAAAATTTTTATTTTACTAACTTTTGCAAAAATTGTTCACATATCTCACCAAAAACAAAAACAAAACAGGCTATTATTCCAATTTCACTTAACCTTGCTTCAAAGGGGTGTACAAATTTTTATTTTATAAATTTTATAGATATGTAGTCTGAAGCATAAATGTACCATTTTTTTCTTAATTAAAAAAAAACAAAACAGTGATGTCAGAAGAAAATATGTTGAAACGTCCTTGTGATTGATATAACTATGGATGTTTTGGTGGAAAATGGAGACAAAAAGTGACCATCTATTTTGTTTTGTTTTTTCAACCACTATTTAAAACATTTTTTTTTTTATTTTGCTTTTCATTTAGTATTTATTTTCTCCAGTGAACAAAAATCCTTTTGTTGTCATTTTAGTATACAATAGTATTTCCAATTGAAGCATGTAAAAAGGTTTTTTCCTTTTTTTTTTTTATTTATTTTTTTTTTTTCTTGTTTTACTTGCCAGAAAGGCCCACACTGAGATGATCAGGATGGCTTTTGTGGTGTTAAATCGAGAGGAAAAGTGGATTGGCTGGCAACCGAGAAAAGGCCTGGTCTGGTTTTGTTTGATAGTTTGGACTGATATATATTTTCTCAGCATGAGTATACTCGGGCTTTCATTGTCAGAGGCAGAGCAATCAGAAAAAGACGACCGACCCACTGAGAACCGCAGGTAAGACGCAATAACCCTCAAAATAAAGTTTGACGCCTGCACGTCTCCTTTGAATATAGAACGGCGACTGGACTCTAGTTCAACTCTGTGGAAATGAAAATGAAACTACAGGGATAAAGACCTGCTCCCTTAGAATGGCCAACAAATTGTGGTACGTCACATGTCCACCAATCGCCATTCGCTCAGGTAAGGTGTGGAAAACGGAGATGTCTTTTTCCTTCAAAGAACCCACTGCCGCAATTACCACTGCAGTTAATGGCGACTTCATAAGAGGCAAGGAATTTTAAAAGGAGAAAATTATATACTCAGAGCTCATAAGCTATAAATGCATTCAAATTACTTTCCCATAAATTACTTGTGTCATCATTACAAATGGTTTCATTCCCAGGCGTAACAATGGAGGCAGTTTAAACTGTAATGCTTTAGCTCCAGTCGAGTTTCTTGAGAATCTGCTGCGTGGAGTGAAGAATAAAAAAGAGATTCATTATGGGAAAAGAACAAAAATTGTCTAATTGTTTAAAATAAAATGCCACATCTTCCTGAATGCGGAGACTGATGATTGATGATTTTTGTTCCCAAAAAGAGCAAAATAAAAAACAAAAACGATGTGTTCTTGCATTTCAAAAAGCTAGATACAGTGCAATGGTATTGAATATACAGTAATTCAAAATGTAGATTTCGTAACTTTTTTTTTCCCTGACAACTTTTTAAAAACATCACTTTCATATTGAGAGACACTGAAAGACCAGCAAGATGCTTCGTAATAGTCAAAGACATCTCTCTAGAACGCATTTACAGTATGTAGGAAAAAAAAAAACATTTAAAAATGTTGGAGCGTATATCCTGTGTGAATGATTTTTAAAAACAAGAATGTTACTAAATGTCAGGATTGGAGAGGACCAAATAGAAGTAAAATAAAAATTGGTCATTAAAAATACACACTAACTTTTTTATTCAATTTTGAAATGTTAATATACATTACAGTATGTACAATAATCCAACGTTTATCTAATGTTGCAAAATGTTTTAATGTAATGCAATTAACATTTTTCTAAGTGTGTTTATGGTAGCTGCCTAAAATACGATAAAATAATTGAATATGAGTGTTATGAAGTTGTACAATATCTTTGTTTCAAACAAATGAAATTGAAGTTGTTATTAACAGAAAAGCAAATTTGCATTTGCTTACTGATTCCAGACATTGTTTTGTAATCAATTGTGCGAATTGGATAACTAAAAGATTTTCTGTCAATGACAACTTAAATTTAACTTAAATTTCAGTATTTTTTAACACAATATGTCTTGTTTAGAAGATGTGCAAGTTATCTGAACTACTCCTAAGGCATGCCAATGTCTATAACAATAAAATGTTTTAAAATTGTTCACAATGTTATATAATGGCAAACCTTTAATGATAATGACACAGAGGAGTGATATTGTTGGAATCAGCTGATAAACGATAAAAACATTGACAGCCAATCATAATCCATCCTGTGTTTAAGGACATTTTTATTTAAAAGGACAGATGACAAAACTCCAGTGTATGTTTATAGTTAACGGAACATTATCATGCATTTGAGTGGGTGTGATATTGTTATCGTTCTTCAAATGCATGTATATATTTTTGTATTTTTTTAAACTTTACAGAGACAAAAGTGCAGCATGTACACTCTTCAAACCATATTCTTTTGTGTTCCACAGACAAAAGAAACTCATACGGCACCAGTGGTGTGTAAAGTACCTGAAAGCCATACTCAAGTAAAAGTACAGATATCTTACCAGAAAATGACTTTGGTAGAAGTTGAAGTCACCGTTTAAAAG